CGCCGTGCGGAACGCCTCGCCGGGACACCTCGCGCCACGCCTCCGGCACGCCCTCCGTTAACATGCTGTGCGCGCGTGCAGACCCCCGCGCGCCGCACACCCTCCTGGAAGCGCACATTGCTTGGGGCTTTCCGAGAGCAGTGCACTTCCCCGGACGGGGCTCGACGGGACGCGATGAAATTAAGGTTTCTTACTTTCTTGCCCCTAATGGGGCTCGGTGGTAATTAGCGGCCTGCTTCGAGCCACCGTGAATCAGAGATAAATAAAATCCAGTGACTTACTCGCACATCGAAAGAGGATTACTCAGTGCAAAGATCATTCTAGACCAGAAATAAACACATTAAACCAGAGTCTGTTACGAATACACAAATCGTTGAAGTCTGTTTCCTTAACCTGGCCATGTGTAAACCAAAACGCAGGACTGAGCAGAGGTTTCACAGCTGCAGTACCTGATCCTCCCATGCCCGCCTGCGTTTAGTGAGAAGTCTCCAGGAGAAAGAGCATAGCTCAGAAAGAACCTCATCAACAACCACAAAACTGAGAAAAGGAGCCCACTCAGGAGCACCTCTTTTTACACATTGTGGTTCAGGAAATTCCAAAATTCTCAGAAATGTAATTGTAAAAAGAAGTGAGGATTCATAACATTACAAATACAGTAATTTAAAACTGGTTTAAAATAATTCAGTAAGTGGTCGTTGGAAAGCACATATCACTATTTTGTGTTTTCATAGAAAGTAACTGTAAAAACACCTTTTACCCAGAGATGTCTGTAATATCCAAATGTCAAGATTTTTGACACTGAGTTAATATTGCCATTTACTACCTTTATTTTATCATGCCTCACTTAAATTCAGTTGTCAAACTAGTGATCATATAAAAATGGATTAGAGTCTTGGTTTTGCTACTCTTTTATATTAAGAATCTATTCTAGACATTTCCTGCTTTGTAACTCTAAGTAGATGGCCAAATCTGAAATTTTACAGTATTTAAAATATCTCTTTGTAATATAAAAATTTATGAATCTTTCAAAGGGGAAAACTGATTTCTAATTTTATTAAAATTCTCATTTACATTACTTTTAGCCAGCATTGACTAGTATGCAAATTTTTCTTTAAAACTTTATCTTCCGCTTTAAATTACAGTGGTTGGGGTAAGAGGGTGATGAAAGTGTTCACCATGTTCTCAGAATCATGGGAAATCCCACCTATAAACAAGTTTCTTAGCAGGACAGAGTTATTTATCTCATAGTTTCCTTCCAATTAAAATCAACACTGAAATACTCCCAGTTTTAAAAAGCTGTTTTTACACATCTAACAATATCTCTCTGGAAATCTGACCATCAACTGTTTTCTGTGATTACAGTATACAAGATTTAATTCTTAAAATATATGCATTTTTTTTTTTACCGTAATCAAGATTTTAGAAGATGTAAATTTATTTAAACCTACTGTCTTGGAAATCCCAGAAAGTTTCAGAATTAGTAGGTTGCATTTTATTTTTAAGGGGTACACTCATACTTCCTTTCAAATTTTATAAATTATCTTAGTAATAGTTAGAATAATTGAAAAGTTTCAATCTCAATTTAAAGCTTAGCCAAATATTTTATGTATGTGTGTGTATACACAAACATAAATGTATGTTTGTGTATACACACACACACACACACACACACACTGACATTCACATACATACATACACTAATTAGAAACTCATTCTCCTCAATTTCAGGGGCCACAGCTTAATATATATTATAACTAAAGGAAAAATTTGTGGATATGTTTTGGAACATTACAGAAATATCTAAAATGCTGTTAAATGCCTCCTGCAACCAAAGAATAAAAAAAAAGCTATCTTCAAATGTCAAAGTAGATAAACAGCCTCTTCAAGTCAGCTAAAACACCATACTGTTTTACACAATCCAAAATGTTTTAGAGGAAATGAAAAGCTAAGTTCAACATCAGAACAGTACTATATCACTCACTGTTTAAAAGGTATATAGCAAGTAGTTGATGAGTACCTGTATTTTTCACTTTTCACTCATGTTTCAGTCATATAGGCATAGATGTTATGAATTGAGGTCATATAAAAAGTTCTTGACTTTATTAATAACATTAAGACTTTATTTCATATCCTTTGCTGTTTAACTATGTCAGCGTCAATTGACTCAACTGTGTTGAATTCTCAAAATACAAAGTAGTTAAGGGGCTGGGGTTGTAGCTCAGTGGTAGAGTCCTTGCCAAGCACTTGTGAGGCACTGGGTTTGATCACCAGCACCACATAAAAATAAATAAATAAAACAAAGATACTGTGTCCATCTACAAGTAAGAAAAAAAAATTTAAACAGTAAAAAATTTTTTTAGAATAATGTAGAATTTTAACAAACTCAAAGTGACAATCACATTCACATTATACATGTAAAAACAGAAGTCCTGTAGGAATATAAGATTAATATGAATCCTTGATGTTACTTTAAACATGTGTATATTTAAGTAGTAATTCAGGTAGAATCTATAAATTAGTCATAGCAATTAAATGTATTTCATATTTTAGAAAATTGACATTTTTTAACATAGATGCCTATACTCTAGTTATTTATTATTTTCTGAGTATTGCATTTAATGGGAAAAAGAAAATATATAAATATCACTTTGAGTTTAGAAAATGAACTAGTTTAAAAACATTGTGGATTCTTACAGTGCAACACACTGATCAGTGACACAAATTTATGAATTTTGGGATTTTTTTTCAACAGATTATTTCTAAATATCTGAAAACGCATAATCTAGTCCTATCATATTAATTATGTTTAATATTTAGGATTTTAAAGAATATTCAAGTTAGCAATCATGTATTAAGTGCCTGCTATTCTTCCTATACCAATCAAAGTTATACCAAAGAATAAGATAGAGCCCATGCCTACGAAAGTTCAACAACTACAGTTACTGGTTACCAAGAATCTTTCATAAATAAGCTGAAAGTGTCACGTCTGCAAGCTTTTATTTGCTCCTTTGATATATAATAAAATAATTTTCTAACAGCAGGGTTATTTAAATTTGTATATGTTACTTGATAATTATGCATAACATAAACAGGAATTATTGGCTATAAATAACATTAAAAATGCTATTAAGAATAGTAAATTTATAGTGAATACAAAGACCATGATCACTTGATCATTTAACTTGATGGCTCCATCTATGGTTTTAGAATTAAGCAATTATAAATCATAGAAGGAAAGTTGAATAAATGTGGGCTTTTAGTAAAGAAAAAAACAATTAGAAGAACATTTCCTTCTTTTTTACTTTCTTTTTTCTTTTTGAAATTGTCACTGTGGTACTCTGTAGAACCAGATGGGGGTAACCGATGAGTTTTTAAGAAAA